AGCGGCTCCAGCAGCGCGGCCGGGGCCGGGGCCGGGGCCGGGGCCGGGGCCGCCATCGCGGCAGCCGCCGCGACGGAACCGGCTGCAGAGGCCGCCCTGAAGGCGGAGCGCGCGTGGAGGGGGCGTGGCTTGATCTATATAAATTAGCATGTTTAATAAGGCCGGTCGCGCCGCCGCCGCGGAGGCAGGACGGGGAAGGAGGAGTGCTGCTTGCGCCAGGATGGCGGGGGAAACACGGGAGGTGTTGGTGGCTTCGGTGTGTTAGGGGGGTCTCGCCTCGCCGTGACCTAAAGGTGGGCGGCGCGGCGGGGTGAGAGGCGCGCGGGGCCGCGCGCGCCGATCCTTCCGGTTCATTGCAAATGATGAATGGGAGCGTCACGCGCATGCGTGAAATGTGCCGACCTGGTTACGACAGGGCACAGCCCCTTCTGAGCGGCCGGCGGGAGCGCGCGCGTAGCGGTGCCGCGGGAACGCGGTGTGCGCGCGAAAAACTTGGGTTTGTGAATGGTGGGGGTGAGTCACGTGGTATACTACTACACCACGCGTGGAATGTTCTGAATGGGAGCGGGTGGGCGTGGCCCGTGGGGCTGTGCCGAGCGCATTCTTTCGTCTTTCACCATGACCAACGTCCAGTCACCTTATTCTGTGTTTCCCCCCTAAAGAACCTGTCCTTAGCGAGACCCCACAGCTGACCCAGGGTAAGAAAGCTGCTGTTTAATCTGTGCTTTACACAGAACTGTACATCTTCCACCCCGGCAGGCAGCGGAAGCCTGAGAACATAGGGAGAAGATTCCATACAAGATTTGTGTACAAACATACTATGTACAGAGAAAGGCAGGGGGAGGACAACAGGGCCATCTCCACCCCCACTCTGCTTTGCTGCTTTCCCAATGCTGACCTGGAGCAGTTCCTTGGGCCTCCTCTATCCCAGCAATCTCAGCTGCCCTGCCATGTGCGTCACGCTCTTCTCACTGGGCCGGCACCTGGTCCTGGGGCATCTCAGGGTGTCCTCGGTGTCCTGTGCCAGCAGCGTCCCTAAAGCAGGAGTTGGACAATATGCTAAGAGGTTCTCCTGGGTGTGGCAACAAGTGGAGCTGGTGGCCATGGGCCTTGTGTTTACGAGATGGGGCTGGCAGCCATCACATGCCACACACTCTTGGGAAGTGCAGGGAGCTCCAGGAGCGCTCCGAGAACCTTGAGAAGGAATTTGTGCAGAGGAAGCTGCCTCCTGTATTGGTCAGTGAGGAATCTGACACACCTGATGCAGGGAGGAAGCCAGCCAGCCCCGCACAGCTCAGCCACGGCAGGGACGGCTCCCCCTGCTGTCCCTGGCGCTGCAGACACCTGACCGGGAGGCCCAGCACAGGCAGCAGGGTCTCAGCGCCTGAGCCTCCACACCCAGCCCCTGGGAGGATTTGGGCCTTCCTTTGTGCAGAGCAGACTGCTGCTATCCCAGCAACGCCCAAGCAACAGCTCAACCTGTCCCAAAACAGAAGGGAGAGGCCTAGTTTTTTTTTGAGCAGTGTCTTTATTCTTACACATTAATACTAGGCACTGAGGACACTCAAACACCACGACAAAAGGCCTGTTGGACACAGCCACACACTGACTGCAGAACGAATGGAAAACAAGGAACAGGCAGAGCTCAGAGCTCCTGGAGAGAGGGCTGGAATGGGCCTGGTGGGAGAACTAAACCTTGAAGGCTCCGCAGAGCCAGCAGGGCTAGAGAACAACCTGAAACATGGGTCTAAGATATCCCCTCTGGATATGCCTTTGAGCGAGCGGGCTGGGAGGGAGATTAGGTATTAGGCCTACTGAGGTGTCAAGATCACAGGCTGAGGGTTTATGTTCTACCTCGAGGAACAGCTCGTGTGTCTATGGCACCCTGTAGCCACTGCACGCAACCTGTTAGCTGCCAAGCAACTGCACCCTAAGGAAAGCCCAAATTGTGGCACCCAGGACACAACCAACAGCCCTTCGCCCTACTTCACATGCTCCTCTTCAACCTCAGAGCGTTGTCCAGCGCGACCAGCTGGCGCAAGAAGCCCCGATTGGGGATGATACCGCGGTGGTCCTTGACGGTCTTTATGGCTTCTACCAGGGGCATGTGGTGGCGGATCATGAGGTAGGCGAGCACCAAGGTGGCCGACCTGCTCACCCCAACGGCACAGTGCACAAGGATTCTTCCTGCGGGTGGAGGGAAAGAGAGCGGCTGTCACAGCAGGCCAAATGTCCGCATTAAAACAAAAAGTACTCAATCTATTTGCTGTGGCACATGTAGTTGTGGCTCATGTGTGCTGCCCTCCCGGGTTAGACATGGGCCTTGGTGAGACTGACTGTGATGCACTGAGGTCCCTCCCTCAGCACAGGCTACCAGGGCATCACTGCCTCCCAAAGTGACCTAAACAGGGCCAGTCACAGCCAAGGACACTGGCAGGGACTTCACCCTGGGAGGCCAGTACCTCAAATTAGCCTAATTCCTCTTTGCAAGAGGTGATCCTGTGCAGGAAACACCACCCAAGACAGAACCAAGGCAGCTTCCCAGCTGCCGAGTTCCTCCCCTCCCTGCTCCCCACTTCTCTCCTAGCCCTCCCCGTGCCAACCTTCATTGAGCGCCTGGTGGATGAAGTCAGCAGCAGGGTAGAAGTAGGGGCTCATGTCAAAGGAGGGCGAATCGTGGGCCTCGATGCCCAGGTAGCGGATGCCGGTGCCCTCGTAGTACTCGGCTCCCCCTCTCCACTTGCTGTGCGAGGCGTTGAGGATGTGGGTGATCCGCAGGTGCGCCAGCTCGCGCCGGTTCGCGGCTATATCCCTGCAGCCCAGGAGGAAGAGCGGAAAACTAAAGGCCTTGGCAGAGCAGAAAGGGTCCTGGTTTAACTGCTGGGATCAGGGCCCCCTTGTACTGCACAGTGGCACTGCCTTAACAGCAGACACTGGATTTGTCTCAAAGCTACAGGCAAATCCAGTTATTATCCAAGACACTTGGTTTTCATTAAAGAAATGTTTCCCATGGCAGTTCAAGGGTCGTCCTGGGCAAACATTTATGGCCAAGAAACCCAGAGGCAAAGGAAAAACGCCAGAGATTCTTGACCTTCAATTCAGTCTCCTGGTCCCTATCTCCGGGTCTGGCTGCTAAACAGAGGCACCCCTCCCCTCTACCATGAAGCACTCCCAAAGCTCCATCCTCCTCCTCTCTGCAGCAAACCCATCCTGTCCAGGAACCCCCTTGCACCCTTTCCCTCCTCAAATTTCCCGTGCTTCCTCTCCCAGGTTTCTCATTTTCCCACATCCCCTGGCGCACACGTGCTCAGGCCCATATGATACATACTGGTCTCCCAAGTAGAGTCCTGGCCAGACCTCATCTGCATGGTTACAAGCTGTCTTTCCTGTGTACAGCAACCTTTCGAGCTCAAAGATGCTGAGGATGGGGTGGTGGCCACGCTCCTCCCGCGAGCCTCGGCTCGGCGACCTGGTACCATTCCTGGAAAACCTGGACAGGAAAGCCATGGGAGCTGCCGAGACCCACAAGGCATACCTGTGGGTTCGGGGAGGCCGGAGAGTGGCCTGCAGGTCGCTTCTGCTGCTGCTGCCACCCACGGTCCTGTCACAGAAGCAGTGGAGACGCTGTTAGAAGAACTGGGGACCTCTCACTTCACCCGCTGTATAGAAACACTGGCCTAAAGCAGCCAAGTTTCATCTTCTTAGAGGTGGCTGTGTAAAGCCAGCTACCCAATCGCTCCTAGCGTGAAATAAGAGTATTGCCCATCCTCCCTTACCAGCAGGACACGACGCCAGGGCTGGTGAGTCAACTCGGAGAAGCAGCCAGCCTGCTGTGTCTCCGTGGGCTGGGGGATCGCTCCAGCCTCATGTTTCTGGGCTGAGGCCAGACTGGCTCTATCTGGGACCACCTTCCTCCCAGGCTGCATGGGGGTTCTGCCTGCCAGCAGGACAGTGCCAGCCCAAGAGCTGCCAAGCTGCGATCGCAAGCGGCAAAAGGCAGCCAGGGCGCTGGGCAAGACACCAGGATCAGGGAGGGGTGGAAAAACCCCAGATAGGCAGAGGATCCCACGCGGCTCTATGAGCAGCCTGGCCAGAACCCAGTGGAGAAGCCCATGGGGAGGGAGAAGCTGGATTAACTGCCAAGCCAGCAGGCCTCCCGCTGCATTTGAGCATCTAGATTGTTGGGGTGGGAAGAGTTAATTTCAGGGGATGAGAAAACTCCTTTTACAGAGCAGATCCTTTAGGATGCAGCTCTGCTCTCAAATGTTTAGATCATCCTGAGGCTTGTCACCCATTTGCAGAAAACCACCCTGGACAGTCCTACCCAGCCCTGCAGGCAAATGTTAGTCAGGCCACCTTTATTGCTCCTTTGCTGCTCTCCTCTACAGAGGGCTGCCTGAAGCCCCCACATCAGGATATGATTGTCCAGGGGGGCCCCAAGCAGCCCCGAGGGGCTGGGAAGCAGTGCAGGGTGGCCCTGTCCTCAGCAGCAGCTTGGCACGAGCTGCTTGTCTGGGGCTCGGGAGAAGGAAACACGCTGACCTTGGCCAGGCTGGGCACAGCCCCGCCCCGGCTGCTTTCACATTTTGCCTAAGGCCAGAATGCAGAAAGCAGCAGCCTCCCGGCACTTTCTTGGCAGTGCAGGGTGAGGAAAACACTGCCAGGGCATGGGGGGAGGCTGGAGGGAGCACAGAGGCACAGGACACAGCTGCCCTGCCAGGACACTTGGCAAGTGGGCACTCCGTGTGACACTCGCTCCCCCAGCACGGCCGCCGGCCTCCTCTGACCCTGACATGCTGCCTCTGCCCGTGTGAATTCAGCAATTCTTAATGCTGGGAATTTAGGCTTGGCAAAGCGCACCTGGAAAGGGCACGGAGCGCAGCCGAGCGCCAGGGCCCTGCGAACAGAGAGGCCCTTAAACCGGGGTGACCTTGGCGGCAGCCCAGCCACACGCCAGCAGCTCCACTGTGCCCTGGGCAGCGCTGGGAGGCAAACAGCCCGTGGGGGCTGAGAAACGCCGAGCCGGGAGGCTGCAGCGAGCCCCGCAGGCTGCAGCGAGCCCCGGAGCAGAGGCTCTCGCTGCTGCGGCTGCCGAGCGCACCAGCCAGCCACACGCATGCCGGGCTGCAGCTCCGCACCCCTCAGGCGTGGAGCTGCCCCCAGCCCCCCCAGAGCGCCCTGCAGGGCACCTGCCCCACGCCCGGCCCTCCGATCCCGGCGCACAGGGCGGCACCCCCGGCCCCTCGGGCTCCGCCACCAGCTCTGCCCGGGGCCCCGGCGGCCGTGGCGGGCTCGCAGGGAGGGCCGGGCGAGCGCGAGGCTGCCCGGCCAGCTCCGCGGCAGCCCCGCGGGGACCCGCGCACAGCCTCGCAGCGGGAAGGAGCCGCCCCCCGGCCCTCTACCTTGACAAGGGCTGCGATTCCTCGGCTCCAGCTGAGGGCTGTAGTCACATCCAGTCGGCCATGTCTTCCTGCTGCCGCGGAAAGGCTGATGTATGAACATCTATTTTAAGCCATGACATGTCCAGAGGCAGGTTCGTTTATATCATGCCGTGCATGGATAGATACGGGGGGAGCGGAGGAGACGGACACAAATACAGAGATCACAGGCGGCACGCACAGACACACACACACATTCACGTTGCTGGGCAGACAAATAAACAAGAGCCACACAACAACAAAATTCTCCTGCCAGATTTGCTCTCGCTTCTCCTCCCCCAACAAAACAAAAGCCACAGGCAGGCAGAGAAAGAGACAAGAAAAAGCCAATAAAGTGGTTCTTATAACGTAATTACCCGTATCGCAGGTCTGTAGCTGTCTCCAGAGGATGCTCCTTCATTTCCTTTTCTGCAGTTGACCTTGTCCAGCTCCCTTGCTGCGGTCTGTCGGGCAGAGCCACGCTTGGAGGGTTATTTCCATCGTTGCTAGTACGTACTTGTGAGGAGCAGGGACGATGTAAAACTATTCACAACTGTATGTCGAAGGGAATACTTTTTCCTGGGAAAATAAAAAACAGGAAATACTCAAAAGACTGAAGCTTTTTGTTTTGACATATTCTAAATGACACCATTTATTTCAGAAATGCTGAAATATTTCAGTTAAATATTTTCCAGGTGGATTTTTTTTCTCTTTTCCCTTTGAAGTGCTGTCTTTCAATTCGAAAGTGTGACTCAGATTAGGAAGGAGTGTGCAACGGTGAAAATAACTGAGGAAAAATCAAAAATTAATGTTCCAGGCCAAACAACATATTCTAAGGAGATCCAAAATGACATTTGCGGTACTCTTTCCCTCCCTCCTCAAGTACAAATTGTGGAACTGGCCTGTTTTGTTCTCATCTGAGCGTGTGACCAACCACAGATGCAACCCCAGAAGCTGGAAGGATGAACTCTGCATTCCCAAGCACCCATCCTCTCCCAAAGGATATATATGAGGATGCCTATGTAGGTACACAGATGCAATGTGATTTAGCTGGACATTATCAACATGTGCCATGCACAGCAAAGGTCCCAGGAGCACAACCTCCAAGCAGCTCACACCTTCCAATAGCTCCCAGACCTTCCCAACACCTCAGTGTTCAGCTAAATGGGAGGACAAGGATGTCCCAACATCTGTGGCAGAAGCTAAGAGCACATGTGGATTCCAAGGGCTCTGGCCACACGGCATCTCCAGGCATACTGAGCTACAGGAGCCTGGCTGCCGGGCCAGGAGTCACCTCCCCACCTCCTGGCGTTGGCTCCCAAAGCTCCTGTCCCAAAGAAATCCTGCCTTGCTGCTGGCTGCTGCCAGGCAGCAAGGAACAGCCACTGACCCTATTCAGTGGATGAGAAGAGGCACCCAGAACCCCAAGTTCTGGGGGGTGTAGATGACAGTGAGACATGAGGAGGCCTCGGGAGGGCAAGGTGTCCTCGCCTGCTGAACGGACCATGTTTCTGTGCTGCTGCCAGCTTGGCAAGAGCCCGTCCTTTGTCCCGGACAAGGTTTGGGAGAGCACTTACCTGCAGGAAGGTTGGACGGCTCACTTCTGCCTGGCAGCACCTCTCCAGCTCCTGGCAAATGATATGAAGGTGAGTTTGCATTTTATCAGCTCTGAGACAGCTTTGGAGTGGATTAGCAGCAGCTCTCCCCCTCTGCACCAAGGAAACTTGTTCCCAGTAGCTTGCAACGTGCTTATAAACAGAAGAACCTCCAACTCCCATCAAAAAAAGGTTAAAACAGAATCAATAACACTCTACATGGAAAGAATCAGGTGCACATTTTTTGGCAGCGTTGCTGTAGGGAACTTGCTGGTCATTTACACAGAAAATTAATGGTTCGTATGTTTTTTATGTCAATAATAATAACCAAAAATGCCTTGTAAAACAGCCTGAGGTTCCCAGCAAAGCCAGTGACTGCTTCTTAGATAACGAAATCTCAGGCACTTTGAAATGCCTGGGCAGCTGCATCAAGGAAAAATGTCAGCAATCTGTCTTTTTGTAAGAGAAGTTTCTCAGACAAACCCGACCTCTCTGCCTCATCTCCTCTTGTTTTCCATCATTGCTGCAGCAGACACTGCTTCACCTCCCGCTCCCTGGTAGGGTTTTTCATCTTGGTGCATTGCTGCTATCCTTAAAGGTAAGGGGCAGCTCAGAGCAGCAGATCTGACCCACAGCCTCAGCACTTGGGTCAGATCTGTGGAATCTGACCCAGTTACCATTTGGGCATTGCTGTCATGTTTCCATATGTCTTAGCTCAGTTTTCCCAGCTCCCTTCGATCCTCCTGGGGTGTAAATCTTGTCCTCATGTTTTGTTCAGGAAGGCTCTGTGAAGCAAGAATCATTCTGGGAACTATTTGCAAGGAGAGAGAATTTAAGACGCAGACACCAAGTATCTGTGGGGAGGGTGCATTTCCTCCTCTCCCCAAGCTGCGTGTCAGTCCTTTCCCTCTCTCCCGTCAGCAGGAATTCCCAAAGCTGCTCTCTCTGGGAAGCATCCAGCAGTTGCAAAGATGCCCAGCCACCACCTTTCCAAGGAATTTTGTCACTCTGTGAAGCCTGAGCAAAAAAAGAAGACAAAAAGAAGTAAAAAAGAGCAGGGCCACCCAGTCCCAGGCAGATGAAGACTATGTGGGGGCGCAGCCATGGGACACGCAGGGTCCAGACTCCCCGCAGTCCTGGGCACTGCTGTCAGGCACCCGCAGGGCTGTGCTGGTTCTAACGCTGGTGCCAACAGGGATTTGCTGCCCCGGGCACTGCTGTCAGGCACCCGCAGGGCCATGCTGGTTTTAATGCCCGTGCTGACAGGGATTTGCTGCGCCCTGCCCGGCCGAGGTTCCACTGTGGAGGCGGCACCGGCCTCCTGCATCATCCTGCGCAGCAGGAGCACAGCAGCCAGGAGGGAGTAGCCACTTTCAGCTCAATCAGCCACGGAATCTGCCCCCAGCATAATGGCCAGGGAATGCGCTGCTCCCAGCTCTCCTCCCTTCCCCTACAGGCAGCTCAGGGCAGGTGGGAATCAGGATTAGAGTCTGCAAGACCCAGAAGTGAGCTGAAGATAAAGGGCAGCCTGGAAGAGTTCACAGATCCAACCACTGGAGGCTGCTCTGGTTATACATAAATCACTATTCTGCATTGTCAAACATGGAAAACTCCACACAAGGAAATAAAGGGCAGGGGCTAGAGAGTTTCGGAGCTGCTATTTCCTGGCTTTACACTCCACATGCATGCAAATTCACCGTGGCTTTCACAGCCCCATTTTAAAGATCAGAGATCAATCACTTCATGCACTAAATGCTGCATGTCCAAAAGCCACCTGGGCAGCATAGTTGCCAGACTTTATTATACTCAGTCAAAACAGAAAGAATTTATGTATTTCATCCAACATGTGCTGTTTGATGGACCCACTGAAGAGGAGGGTGACAGAGGAGGGGAGTGCAGAGGGCATGGATGGCTGTAGCATAACAAGGTAAAATTAAGCTTGCGTTAAAGAGTCAGGGTGAGAAGCTGGCATTGTCGAAACAGGCAGTGCACTGTCAAAGAGCAGCATTTTGGCAGTGCAGAAAAAGGGATTTGAGAAACGCCATTTCCATGGCATTGAAACAGCCTGGGAGCAACTGCATGTTCCTCCGAGGGGTAGAGGCTGCAGTTGAGGGGAGAGAAATCCAGCCCTCACGCTGCGTTGCAGGTGCCTCTCCAACCACAGCTTGGAGCTCTCTTTGCAGAGGGGGCATCATGTTGTATCATGGAAAAGGGAGCCAAAAAGACTCCTAGGAGCTCCTGGGGCAAGTCAAGCCAAGGCAGGATCAACACTACGAGAGCAAAGAAATAACACACTAATCGTCACTCTCCTCTTACCTATGCTTAAATCAGGGAGAAAGGTTTCTTCTGGGGCTCCCTACATGCTCCAACAGTCTGGAAGGAAACTGCAGAACTCAAGGTTACCACCATCCCCAGAGCTCTCCCAAACCCAGCCCACCCTCCCCGGCCTTTCCGTTCCCAGCACCTCTGGGGCCAAGTTTGGTGCTATTATATCCTTCCCCTCGTCCTCCCAAATAAAACTGTGCTTCCCTGTAAGAAATGTGATCGAAGGTAGTAAACCCTTGGTAACGGGGACGTGCAGGTAACACAACCCCTGTGAGCCAAGTCCACAAGCATCAGCCTGATGAGAAGCTAGAGCCCAGGCACTTGGCTGTATTGATTGGCTGCTAGAGGGGGGCACTTGAGCCCTGGCAACACTGAGATATTTTCCATTAAAGGAAAGAAAAGAAGAGGGGGAGAAGAAGAAAAAAGAAAAAAAGAGAGAGAAAAGGAGAAAACAGCCACCAGAGTCATCGTCTAACAGCTGTAAAACCCATAGAGCCTCAATTTGAGAGGCAGCAGCCTTGTCGAGGCAGAAAGGCAGCTGCCTGCTTTGCTGCAAACTTGCAGTGGTTATGATTACTTAGCGGGGAGAGTCTGAATTGCTTGTGGACACGTTTTGCCTGTTATCCACTGTCTTGATAATGTCAAGAGAAGCCTGGGATAGATTTGAGCTGCTAGAGTGCTAGGAGGGAAAAAAAAAATAAAAACCAAAAAGAAACCAAACAAAACAAAAACCAAAACCACATACACACACACAAAGCTGAAAAAACAAGTTGCTGGCAAAATATGCTGTGAAATCCTGATGCTTTCTGTCTAACTGTTCACTTCAGTTTGTCACGTCTTGTTAGCAGAGTAGGCTGGGGCACAGTCCAAAGCTTCTTGAGGCCAGTGGGAGGTTTGTCCTTGACCTGATGCTCATTGAGTTTAAAGACTCAGAAAGATGTCAAAGGGGAGAGGGCTTCCCACTGCTCCTCTGGAAAGGAGCAGCACCCCCATTAGCAGACAACTTGAGCTACTCATACATTGTAAAGCTAATATTTTAAGATGGAGGGCAGGTCTATCTTGGAGAACAAAATGATCCTCAAAACAGAGCTAATCAACACCAGAAACAAGTACCTCAAAGGCAGAGGGTTGGGAACAAAGTGTAGGTCCTTCTGTTACAACTAATCTCAAAGCCACATGTGCAAAGGACTGAGGACTGCTGAGCTGCATGACACTTCTGCCTCCAGGTGCTCACAAACTTCACCCTTGCAAATCCAAAATCCTTAGGAAAAAAAAAAACTATGAGAGAGAGAGAGAGAGAGAGAGAGAGAGAGAGAGAGAGAGAGAGAGAGAGAGAGAGAGAGAGAGAGAGAGAGAGAGAGAG